TCACCTCGCCTGGGCGTCGTTTCTGCGCGGGCTGGTGGGGATATTACCTAAAAGCTCTTGCTGATAGGTTTCTAGTGGTCTCAAAAAAGAGCATCATGACTCCTCAGGGGGGTCTGGGCGGGACCCGGACAGGCTGCCGCCGCGGCTGCCGCCGAAGCCGAAATCGTTTTGGGCATCCTCGCAAAATCGCTCTTGGCGCTCCCAGAACTCCATTCCCGGGCCACATTTGAATGCCCGGAGCTAACTGTAAGCCACTTCGTGCTCTTCGACTTCCCAGAACTCCGTTCCCGGGCCACAGTTTGGATGCCCGGAGCCAACTGTAGGCCACTTCGTGGTCTTCGAGTTCCCAGAACTCCACTCCCGGGCCACATTTTGGATGCCCGGAGCCAACTGTAGGCCACTTCGTGGTCTTCGAGTTCCCAGAACTCCAGTCCTGGGCATGATTTTGAATACCCGGAGCCAACTGTAGGCCACTTCGTGTTCTTCGAGTTCCCAGAACTCCACTCCCGGGCCACATTTTGAATGCTGAGGCAGGCTGATGCTGAGGCTGAGGCAGGCTGAGGCTGAGGCAGGCTGAGGCTGAGGCCGAGGCTGAAGGCAGACTGAGGCTGAGGCTGAAGCAGGCTGAGGCTGAGGCTGAGGCAGGCTGAGGCTGAGGCTGAGGCAGGCTGATGCTGAGGCAGGCTGAGGCTGAGGCTGAGGCTGATGCAGGCTGAGGCTGAGGCAGGCTGAGGCTGAGGCCGAGGCTGAAGGCAGACTGAGGCTGAGGCTGAAGCAGGCTGAGGCTGAGGCTGAGGCAGGCTGAGGCTGAGGCAGGCTGAGGCTGAGGCTGAGGCAGGCTGAGGCTGAGGCTGTGACTGTGACTGCCGTTGCCACTGCGACTGTCATCGCGAATGCGACTACGACTGCGAGAACAGCAGAATTCTACAACTGGATTCTCATCTGAATCGCAAGGGGAATGCTTCCATATATGCTCCTACACATCGCTGTTAGGTTGCTTTGCCGGGATATTTTTTTGGTCAGCGGCTCGAAGGCAACGGACAGGGAGCGGAAGCGGCGTCCGGGTCACGGTACGGGGCTAATTAGCTACAACTGGCACAAGCCGGCCGGTCCGCTCACAAAGCAGCCGCGAAGCCGAAGAGAAGCAGACGCTGCAGGTGATCTGATTCTGGAGCTCTTGCACGCGCGCAAACAAAATGCCATATAATTCTGTGCCTGCCACCGTCTGAGACGTGAACCGAGAAACCAAGCCCGTCGTGAGACGTGAACCAGGATGACCAAGTCCGTCAATCTGAGTGGGGGCAAGGGGGAGGCCGGTGGAGTGAGTCGCCCGTGGGGCGCCAGACTCCAAACGCCCACTGCCACGACTGCAAGCCAGGGAGGGCAGGGCTGTCGCGGAACGTGGTGCAACGCACTTGCCGGAAGCTGGTGGATGAGCCTGGGGTGCTGTACCAGCTGCGGAAGGCTGAACCACTCCATGGCGACACCAACGCCCGAAAGACCACCCCACAGGGCATGGGGGGCCCGAGCGACTGTGGGCCACGCAGCGCGCGCCGGCACGGCGTCAGGCCCCAGTGAGGGGGGGGGCCAGCTGGCGTGGTGAGCATCGCCAGCGGGGGGTAAGAGGGGGGCTGCACTGGGGTAGTGCTGCCTTCGGCGGTGTCGTAGGGCGAAGCGCCAGGGAGAGCTGCGCGGTGGAGGACACGGGGGCCGGGAGGCAAGCCTGGCCCAGTCCGCCGCCCGGCAATGCCCCCCAGGCCCGTGGGCCTACGCACGCCACGTGGCCCCCCAGGGCCGAAGCAAGCGACGCTGAGAGTGATGGGCCAGACCACGAGCAGCGCGGAACACGGGCGGCCCTGGGGGGGGGGGCAACCGCACCGACGTCAGACAGTACGTCTGGCAGGCCCCGAGGCCAAGGGCGGGGGGCACCCGCCTGGCCCGAGAGGGGGGGGGCGAGGGAAAGCATCGCCTCTCCCCTCGGCCTGGCCCCGAATCCGAGGGCTAGGGGCCATGGTCATCTCTTGGGTCGTCCTCGTGGGTCGCAGCTAATCGCCGCTATGATCTCTCTTTAATCTTCTCGGGGGTCGCAGCTAATCGCCGCTGAGATCTCTCTTTCATCACCTCGGGGGTCGCAGCCAATCGCCGCTATGATCTCTATTTGTTGGTGGGTGTGTCCGGTTGTTGGTCCCTTTCCTTTGCTCGGGGGTCGCAGCTAATCGCCGCTGCTCACTATTTGATGGCAGGCGTGTCCGATTGTTGGTCCTCCACGGGCGCAGCAAACCGCAGCTGATGTGGAACGGCAGAGTGACAGAACAGCGGGGGTGGTTGGTCCTCGGGGGTCGCAGCTAATCGCCGCTTGAGCCGATATTGACAGAGAGGTGCCCAGGCAAGGCCGCAGAGGCATCCCGCCGACCCCAGTGCAAGAGCAGTGTACACTGACACTACCAGCCACCGTCACATGCGCTGCGACGCCCGCAGGGCCCTGATGGAGAGAGGCGGGGGGAAAGCCGCGCCCCCCCTCGGTCAGGCCCCCGCGCTCGTGGGATAAGTGGCGCGCCCGCCGAGCTAGGACAGAGCCTGCTGCCATTGGCCGCTCTTCACGCGCACTCAGATCCCACTGCTGTGACAGGTCACGAAGGGCCCCGATGCAGCCTGCTGCTTTTGCCGGGCAGCGACAGGGCCTGCTGTCAGCGCCCACCCTTCTCGCGCCTGATCCCGGCGCTGCAACTGGGGAAAGTGGTTTCCAACCTAGCTTCCCACGTCCCGGCAATGGCGCCGGAGCATGTGGATCACAATTTATTGGATTGCGTCCCTTCTCGTTGCACCGACAGCACCGGGATGCAAGAGTGCCCTGAGCCCCACAGGGCGGACACGAGCCCGAACGGCAGACACCCCAGAGAGGACAGCACCGGGATGCAAGAGCCCCTTGAGAATCCGCGGGGCACGCACTCGGATCCCACTGCAGTCAAAGATCACGTTGGGCACCATGGCCACCTGCCACCTGTTGCTGGGCGAGACTGAGCAGCTGTCAGCGTCCACCCTACACGCACCTGTTCTCAGCGCTGCAACTGATGACAGTGGGCACCGTGAAGACGAAGCGCGCACGGGGATTGAGGCGAGAGACGGCCCTTGGCTGCCAGAGCCGGGATGCAAGAGTACCTCGAGTCCCCGAGGGAGGCACTGGGCCCATGGCCCCGGCAAAGGGGGTCGCAGCAGAACGCCGCAATGAACTCTATTTGAAGGTAGGTGTCTCCGTTTGCTGGTCCGCCAACACTCTTCCATTTCCTCGGGGGTCGCAGCCGATCGCCGCTAGGACCACTATTTGGTGGTGGGTGTCTCCGACTGTTGGCCCACCAGGGTCGCATCAATCCGACGCAGATGTGAACCTGCAGGGCGACCAGACAGTAAGGGTAATTGGTCTTCGGGGATCGCAGCTAGTCGCCGCATGAGTCTGTATGCTGCTCCTGAAGCTGCTGCTGCTGCTGCTGCTGCTGCTGCTGTTGCCGTTGGTGCTGCTGCGGCTGCTGCTGCAGGGGCTGTGTGCAGCTGCAGCTGCCGCTGCTGCTGCTGCTGCCGTTGCGGCGGCTGCTGCTGCGGCTGTTGTTGCTGCCGTCGCCGCTGAGCCGCTGCTGCTGCTGCTGCTGCTGCAGGTGCAGCAGCAACTGCTGCCGCAGCTGCAGCGCGGCCGCCCCGGCAGCCGCCGCCGCCGCCGCGGGGGCCGCCGCCCCGGCGCCACCGCCGCCCGCCGCCGCGCGCATGCCGGCCTCCAGGCGGAAGGCTGCGGCGGCGGCGGCAGCAGCAGCGGCCAGGGCGGCAGGCCAGGCGGCCGCCGCGGGCGGCGGCAACCGGGCCAGCGGCGCCACCGCCGCCCGCCGCCGCGCGCGCGCCAGCCCCCAGGGGGGGGGGCGGCGGCGGCGGCAGCAGCAGCAGCAGCGGAGGCGGGCCCGGGCAGGCGGCCCGCCGCGGGCGGCGGCGGCCAGGCCCGCGGCGCCACCGCCGCCCGCCGCCGCCGCACCAGCTTCGGGAGGGGAGGCGGCGGCAGCGGCGGCGGCGGCAGCAGCGGCGGGGGCGGGCCAGGCCGGGCGGCCCGCCGCGGTGAGCGGCAGCCAGGCCCGCGGCGCCCCCGCCGCCCGCCGCCGCGCGCCCGCCCGCCTCCAGGGGGGAGGGCGGCGGCGGCGGCGGCAAGCCAGGGGAAGCCAGGCGGCCCGCCGGGGCGGCGGCAGGGTCTGCGGCGCCGCCGCCGCCGCCGCCCGCGCGCGCGCCAGCCCGCGTGGGGGGGGGGGGGGGGGGGGGGGGCGGCGGCGGCGGCGGCAGCAGCAGCGGCCAGGGGCGGGCCCGGGCAGGCGGCCCGCCGATGGGCGGCGGCAGCGGAGGCCAACGCGGCAGGCCGGGCGCGGCGCGGACCGCGCCGCAGCGCACGGGCGCCCCCTCGAGCGGTGGGAGACCGCCCCGGATGGGACAGGCCCACCAGGCGGACTGAGCCAGGGGGGGCTACGGAACTGGTGGGGGTACTTTTTTTGGTTCGCGGCTCCAAGGCAAATGTCAGGGGGCGGACGCAGCGTCCGGGACGCGGTACGGAGCGAATTTGCGAACCCAGCCGTCACTGTCGACAGCCGTCCGCACCTGCAAGGCATGCTCGCAGATGCACACGCACAGTGCAACATGAACTAGATTCGCAGACTCTGGTGGGGATACGCGAAGCGTCAAGACTTGCTAGCACTGTTAATGGGGAACGTAGGCTTGAACATTTGTTTAATAAGCTTTTGCTGGCAGTCCGCCGGCCCACGAAGTCCCCGCGAACCCCCAAAGAGCCATCGGGGTGCCCCGCGGCAAGCCTAGCGGCGCGAGAAACCTACATTCCTCTCCGACTTCTGACTGCGACTACGCTTGGACATCAACTTGTCCAGGCGCAGAGTCGTGGAGGCCCTGTGCGTCTTTTCTCCTGAGGCCCGGTGCAATTGCTTCAGTCCCTCCAGCACCCGATCTAAACACCCCAGACATTAGCAACAGAGAGGATGGCGACCGACTCCGCGAAGGTGCAGAGGGGGTCCCACCACGGGGGCCTGACAAACACGAATGATCGTCCTTGCCATCTCGCGCCATACACCCTCCCGCTCGTGGCACTCGTCCCCCATCTGTGGGCCATCAGAAGAGGTGGCTGCTGGTTTTCTCACTCGGCCACCTTCAACTCTCTTCGTCGTGCTCGTGGCGGAGGTGTCCTTGCGCATGTCCTCGGACTCTACCACCGCCTTTACATTAACATTGCTCCACGCCTCCGTGCATTCGGACTCGGCGCCGCGCGCCGCCTTCGCCTCCGCCTCTGCCCTGCGTGACGGGTATCGCCCCGTCGCGAAATATTCGCTGGGTCCAAGCCACTCGAGTCTGCATTTGCGGCAACCGAAGGTGCTGTTCTGCACCTCGAGGTCTGGAGCGGGGCCCTCAAGCTCCAGGGCGTTGTTCACGAGGATGCGGCCCTCCACCCCGCGGCCCAGGATGCTGCTTTTCATCTTCCGGATGAGGCTCCCCAGTTTGAGGTTTTCCACGCTGAGGCTCAGGTTGCCGCGCTCCTTCTAGGGCCCCAAGATGGCGCTCACCAAACTGAGGCTGTCCAAGATGAGCCTCTCCAGCTCTAGGCGGTGGCCCTCCAGGATGTGGCTCCTGATGAGGCTCGCCAGGCTGCCGCCAAGGGTGATGCTCCCCACTGCGATGCTCAGGACGCTGCTCCCCGACTCCAGAGCGTGGCTCTCCATGATGAGGTTCCCCACCGTCAAAGTCCAAGGCTGCGCTTTCCAATGTCGTTTCCTTTGGGCCCCCGATGGAGCTTCGCACGGTAAGGCTGTACATAGTCGAACTCTCCGGCTCCAGGACGTGGCTCACAAAGTTGAGGCACCCCACCTCGGGGCCCAGGGTGCTGCCCATCATATCCAGGACATGGCACTCCAAGCGGTCGCTGGTGAAGCTCCCCAAGTTGGGGCCCAAGATGCAACTCTCCAACTCCAGGGTCGGCATACCAATCGACGCGTGGCTGCCACTGCAAGCGCGCCTCCGCGTAGATCTGTATCCACGGCCATCCCACCACAACTCGTGAGTGATCCACTCGGCCTCTGGCGGCTCGGCGCGGTTTGTCATGTAGTCATGTAGGGCAGGAGGGGCTTGGCGTTTGCGCGCAATGTGAAGTCGTGGGCCTTTTTGGCCAGGTTAAGCTGGGCCACCAGCTGAGCATTCTCTCGCCTCGCTTGCCTGAGCTCGTCTGTAAGCCTGCGAATGGCACTGTCGGCGCCCAGTTTCGCCCACCTCCGTCCGATTCTGTCGGCGGTCCCGCCGCCTTGGCGCGCTGCTCCCACACCATCCCGCATCGCACGCGCCCGTGCGGGCACGCACGCGCCGCGCGCTGGGCGCCAGCTTCCTTGAGCCAAGACGCCGATGTACATTGGTATTACCAAAGCACGGAGGGAAGGCACATCCGTGTCCGAATGGGGCTCCCGCCGGAGACTTCCCCTGAGACCCCCTTAAACACATGACCGCAGTCGCACGGGCGGCTCTTTTTCACTTGGGGCTCTTGCTCGAGGCGCCCCCAAGTGCAGCGGCCAGACGTGGAGAGTTGCGCACCAGTGACACGGATGGGGGGCGCCTCCAGTTCATCAAACACGGGGCTCCCCCTGGAAACAACGTTAAAATTGATGATGCGATCTTATCGTAACCCTCTTCAGCCGCTGGCAACATGCAATCAACTCCGTTTTCAAAAAGGGGCTCTCGCCTGAATGGCACGTCTATGCGGTGCTCGTCTTGAACAGACGGCTTGCAAGGACTTCTGAAGAGGGAACTTAAGACGGGAGGGTGCCTTGGCGCATCATTGATGCATCTCGGTCTTACTCTGGTCTCGCCTCTGCTCCTCCTCCGATTGTTCTCCCTCCTCGTCCGCCCGCCCCCTCCTCCTGCCTCCTCCCCGTCCTCCCTCCATTAGCCTCCTTCCTTCTCCTCCTTCCTCCTCCTCCTTTCTCTCTTCGGGCAGGCGCCGGTCGTTGTCGTCGTCCTTTTTCTCCTCCTCCTCCTCCATGCCTGCTCGTCGTCGCCCACCACCCCCTCCTCCTCCTACTCATCCTCCTCGTCTTGCGCCTCCTTCTCCTCCTCCTTCCTCCTATCACTCTCTCCTCCTCCTCCCTCTCCTCCACCCCCTCCTCCTCTCCCTCCTCCCTCTCCCTACTCCCGCTCCATCCTCCTGCTCCCTCCTCCATCTCTCTCTCGTCCTCTCTCCCCCCTATGCCCTGTCCCTCCTCCCCTTTTTCCCTCCTCCTCCTCCTCCTCCTCCTCCTCCTCCTCCCCCTCCTCCTCCTTGGAGGACCCCTGTCCTGGCAACGCCAGCCGCGTGCAACGTCCAAGCTTGGCAGCAGGTGGCCAGAGGCGGTGTGCGCGGAGAGGGGGGCGGGCGGGCACCCTCCGCCGTCGAACGTGGTTCCAGCAGCGTGACCGCGGCGCGGACCCCACAAAACAAACTCTGGG